GTATAAAATTAGGATTTTAATTAGGATTTATTAATATTTACTAAAAATTAGATTACATTTTGAAAATTTTTTTCAATAAAATGATTCGAGCTGGAGTAATAAATAATATGTAATTTTATATATATTTTATCATATTTCATTAAAACGATTATTAAAAAACAATTTTCTTCAATATAATCTTAATATTCGAATATTAATAATTCTTGTATGTTTATTATACATTAGTTGTAGTTGTAGTTTATACATTATACACAAAAAAACTATAAATATGTAATTCAATATTCTATATTTCTATATTTTTATAATGATTTATAAATAATCTATTTAATTCAATCAGAATCATAATTATTCTCAATCATAATTATCATTTCATTTACGAAAATAATTATTATAAGAAATTATAAGAAATTAAAAATAATTAATATAAGAACATGAATTTCTCAATTCTTCATATATCTATCTCACAAATCTCTCTTTTATCAATCGCTAAGATAATAAACAAAATTAAAGGAAATTAAAACAAACCTAAGTTTAATTTGCACCTGTGCCGTCTCTAAGCTCATCTCCCCCAACGCTAAAGAATTCACGTCATCCATTGCTCCAGGTAGTTTTCTTCGGTTAGAGGCCTCGAATACTCCCGAATCACCTGCAACACTTTCATCGGAAACAGCAGCCGAGACGGATCTGGTATTCGTACCGGAACTGCTAGCTCTCGAACGAATACCGGTGGGGGGAGGTGTTTCACTGATAGGTGAAAGAGGCGGTGGATCCTGCGAAGGATGCTGCATCACGCATACAGGCCTGCCAAGGCCACTGCCTTGGGACATATTTCCAGATTGCAATTCGACCGGTGGATGTGGACCACCGACCAACTTGAGACGATCTTGGGAACCAGCACACGTCTGTTCTTGCGACGACGTTTGCTGTTGACTAAACCTAAGCTCCGCCAAACGATCCTCCAACTGATTTCCGTCTAAATGAACGTTAGATGAGGCGGTGAGTCTCTGATGTCGTCTCTGCATCTCCACGTGTTCGTACGCGGGTGGTGGGCCCATCGGGGCATTTTCATATAATGGTGAAACCGGTGGACTGACACTAGACAGACTCGATCTTGGCGATAAACTTGGTTGCGATCGACCCGGCGATGGCGTGCTCACAAGATTGTTCTGTTCCGAGCCTCTAAGTAATCTCTCCACTCGTCTATGGAGGTCAACCATATCGACAGGTCTATCTTGTTGAGAAGTGACAGGGCCAAGGCACTGGGGGCCACCATAAATATCGGTGAAACTTAGTCCAGAACTTAGGGAACCTTTACTGCTAGTCGTGCTGAGACTTCCAAGGCTGGAACTACTACTGACTGAAAGCGTGCTCGCGCTGAGAGTCTTCAACTGACCCTCGAGCATCGCCATCGAGCGTAAAGCGTCCCTCAATTGCTGTAATAACAATTGTTTTTCTTCGTGTAGTCGCACGCGATCGGTAATTGTCTTGTTCGACAATTCAAGCGCGTTGTTTAGATCTTGCTCAAGGCGACGGATCTCACTCTGGATCTTCTTCATATCTTGTTGCGTTCTGGTACGTGGAGTGATACTTCTTAATTCTCGAAGCAATTGTTCTTTCTCCTGGAAGAGCAGCAACTTATCCTTGTCGCTTTCCGTCTGGCCAGGAGTTACCTTTTCCTCAAGATCCGCTAATTGTTGTTGAATATGCTGTATCCTCTTTCTCGCCTCATCGTACTGTAACCTCATCCGCGCCATTTCGGCTAAACGCGTGCCAATAGGGACTAATTCACCGGATAAATCGGTTTGAGATGCTGTACTAAGTTTTTCCTGAGGTAAACTGAGCGTGCTGGCCTCGGGACTACCTTCGCAAAGCTGCAATCTCGTCAATTCATCCTTCAATTGAGCTAAAGACTGCATCAACTCAGCTTTCTCCTTTTCGCCCGAGCTCAGCGATTTTTGAATATTTCGAAGCTCAGTCATAATCGCCTGAGCCTCCGTAATGTTGTAACAACCGCCATGATGACCACTCAATTTTTGCTCAACACTGCATTAGAAATAAGAAGAAAGATTGAAAATTGATTTTTAATAATTATTACAAATAAATTCTTTTCTTGCAATACAAATTTTTTGAAATATTAATCTCAAAATATTTTTTTTTCTCTGTATTGTCAATTTTGCAAACATTTGAAAATTGTGTTAAATCGTACAATAATACAATATAAAAGAAAAAAGGAAATTCATAATCATTATTGTCATAAATATATATAATATTATTAAAATTTAAAAAAATAAAAAAATGCATCTATCCACGTAATCATATCGATCAATACGATGTTCAATTTTTATTGTTGATCTCGTTATCTATAATTTTAAGGATCGAGTTCTTAGAATTCGTCCATTTGCTATGTCACTCTCACAAAAGATATATTCTTCCTATTCAAGTGCCCTTTAAAGGGTAGGAATCTCAAAATAAGATAATAACATACCTTGCAAGAGTGTCCACTCCTCGCTGTGTGCAGTTCATTTCAGCTCGAATCTGTTCGAGCTCTCGTTTCAGGCGGGAAACTCTACTCCTTGCGAGTGCGACATCGGATTTCAAGAGATCCGGATCGTACTTGGTACTCAATGAACTTGAACTGGAGCACACTGTAGGTAAGATAAATCATTACTGTCTCGTTTGATTTATTACACATTTAAAATATATTTTTCATCGACTCTTTATATAATATCATTATAATGAATTATAACTAAATGAAAACGAACAAATATTTTATTTTCTCAATAATTCGAGTTTCGTACAAAAATAAAATTCGCATAAAGATAGAATAATATTTTTACATCCAAAAAATATCGAAAGATTAATAAGATGCATAAGATTTGCCAAAGATTAATGTGATAACACAACAATTATTTTTAACATGATAATATCTAGATGAATAATTATTTTGCATGCTAAATTAGATACTTTGAATGGTAAAAAAAAATAAATACCACTAATATCAAAGTATACTCACAACTTGTACGCGAAGCGCCGAGCGTCGTTAAAGCGTTGTTAAGGTGATTGTACTCATCTTGGGCCAGACATAGTCTCTGTTGCTTCACATCGTAGATCTCCTTCTTCGCCTGTAACACAGATAAAAACATTGTCGAAATGAAAATTTATTATTTTTCCAAAATTTTTTTTCAATATTTTTCCAAAAGAAAACATGTTAGAAATTTATATATATATATATATATATATATTACAAAACGAATTTGCATTGATATTAAAATATTCATTTAATCTTTTAAACGATTGATTTCATAGTCATGCTTTATTTTAACCCTCATTGTATAGACATTTGCGTCAAAAATAATTTATATTGATAAATAATTAAAACTTATCTAATTTTTGCTAATGGCGATCTTTAAATCGATCCGATCGAAAAATGACTCAGTCATCGAACCATGAGGGTTAAAGATATGTATGAATAAAATGATTGAAATCAATGGTAATTACTTCATATCGATAAAAAGTTTAATCTTTGTGTGTGTACAATACATAAGAAATACTTATTAGAAAGAATTTTCTGATTGTAAATAACATTGAATTTGGAATAGCACGTCGTTCGCATTTTCACCTCGATCACGCTTAGTTGAAATCCGATAGAAGCCACGCAACGACTCGTACCAGCATTCTTTCGGTTTTCAGACAAGGAAATACCATTACACATGATTTATGTAGCGCTACGAGTGCCGAACGATCCCTTCATCATCTCAAATTCTTCTATAGTTGGCCATCGTAAAACGAAATAAGAAGGAAATAAAATAAAGTACGACGAACGGTAACAAAAAACATTTATACAATATACAGAATCTCGTGGAATTTTGCACTTTTGTTACTCTATTCTTAAATAAAACTTTCATTCAAACAAACTTTGAATTATTTCTAATTATCATTCGATTTTGGAATGAAAAATCATTGAATATCGACATGTGTATGAAAGTCAAGAAAACAAGAGGGAATAATCGAAACTGAAACACACGAGGTTACAAAGATATAAAAATATTTTCAACAACACGTTCGCAACGAAATATAAAATATTAGATCCGATAAGTACAAAAGAGGAAACACTGAAAAAATCCGCATTGATAATACACCATAAAAATTTCACTTCGACAGATTTAAAACGATTCGAATATTGCACGAAATAATCCTGGAAAAGTCCTTACATATTCACAGTAATAGTATGCAGTGGCGTCGGTATCTTCACGTCTATAGCATTGCTCCCAATAAAACCTCTGTATCTGCTCGTCATTTTCATAATCGTTATGATAGCACATTCTCATTCGATATTGAGATACGACGTTCTCGTAAATTTGTTCCTGTTGATAAGGTTGTTTGCACAAACGTTGCTCGGAATATTGTTGACGTTGATGTTGTTGTAACCGTTGATGCGCCTGTTGATGGTAATTGTTCACGTAGGTGCGGTATTGGTGCGCTGGTACGAGTACACAGAGTGTGTACTGACGGTCCATGCCGGGTACACAGTAGACTAGGCACGATTCTTCTTCTTCTTCTTCGTCTTCTTCGTCGTCGTCGTGATCGTTGTCTCTTTCTTCTTCTATATACTTCTTCCTTTACTTCTTCTCCGTCTTTTCCTTCTGGTCTTGGTGTCTTTCTCTTCTTCTTCTTCTTCTTCTTCTTCTTCTTCTTCTTTTTCTTCTTCTTCTTTTTCTCCTTCTTCTTCTTCTAACCCGTCGAACGTCTATCTTCTCTTCTCTTCACCTCATCTTCGCGAAGGCCTTCTCGAGACTGGCCGGTTTACGGGGCCCGAAATTCCGATCCCCACCTCTGTGGGTCTCAATTTTTAAGGGATCCCACCTTTTTTCCTCCTTTTTGCCTTCTCTTCCTTCGTTTCTTGCACCACCCGGTCGATTCTCTCCTTCCCTTCTCGTTTCCATCCTGCTTTTACCTACCACCCTTCCCCCTACCATCCTATCCAACATCCTTTCTTTTTACTCTTCTATTTCTCTCTCTCTTTCTCTCTCATTCGCTCGCTCCCTCTCTCCCTTCTTCCGTTTAATCCTTCGATCTTTGTCTCTGTCTCGCTTGCTTACATACATCGCGGACTCTATCTCTCTCAATCTTATATAGACCTTCTTTCCTCTTCTCTCTTTCCATCTACTCTTTCCATAGTATTTTCATTTATCTCGCTTCAACCACGGTGGCCTCAAGCGGTTCTTTCTTATCCGGTGTAAAAAGGCGGGCCTCATCCTGAGGCCTGGCAGGACCGTCGCAATCGAGCCCTTGCGCTGCCCCTTGCTCCCCACCCACTCGCTTTTCCTATTCTTCCTCTCCTTCTCTTTCATTTCATCCAATACTGTCTCTAAATCCCTTCTTTATCCTCTCTACTTTGTTTTTTTCTTTCAAATATTATATATATTTCACATAATATTCGTAAATCTAATTGATAGTAGAACGTACGTACACGTGCTACGTTTACTCGCGCATCATGAATATTTATGACATTACATGTTGAAATTTTGCTTCTTCCTTTTAACCTTCCAGCCACGTTTAATCTTCTTTGATTCTTGAATCGATGGAAATTCCATTGAAATGAAATTTTTTTTACCGGCCAAGGTTATCCTGACCTAAATTTCTCTAAAATGAAAAAACATTTTTTTATCCATCGACAGAAACAATGTTTCATACCTACGCGTGTATTTAGCTCTGATAGCGAATAATTTCGTTAAATTGTCAAAACATAAAAACGAGACTACTTTTCGAATTTCAGAATATTATTCGAATTTATCCCTGGGGAGTATAAATTTTTTTCAGCTCAGCGATCATAGTGGTATGCAGGGGCTCTATATGCAGGGCGCCGCGGGGCAAGCGCACAATCCTGTTGCTGGCGGAGCCTGTAAGGGACGACAGCAGGAATGGAGTAGGGGGTTTGTAAAATGAGAGGAGAAGGGAAGGAAGACCTGACGAGGTCACGGTACGACCCTGCTGAACGTGGTCCCATCTCGGACTTTCTGGTCGGTAGTAGAACCGACCTTGAGTCGCGCATTATGCCCCGTCCTTGTTGGAATTTCTGGGGCCACTACTGGCCCATCAGCCGTGTCTCTGATCATCTAAGAACAGGCCCGGTGGACCTTGGTATATGTCCCCTCTCCATCAAAAGGTCCGTTCTGTACCAGTAGTGATGGGACCAATTCCCCTTCCTTTGAACATCTTATCAATCTTTTTCCCCACTATTTCACTATTCTACTCTTCTGAAATATTAATTTAATATTCCATTGAATTATACACAATAATTAATTAATTCTAAATATATTTTCCTATATTTTTATTCGAAACTGTTTTATGTATATATTTATATATAATATCATATATATTGTTATATTAGCGATTTAAATGCTTATATAATGCTCAAATTGACTTCATTTAACGCAGAAGTTATGTAAGAAAAATATTTCGATACAATCTAATTCTCATTTATTAGAAAATTTATATCTATATTATATTATATTATATTATAGCGGATTGATATTCGTATTTTTTAAATAACTTCGATATAAAAATGGATAAATAGAATTTCGACAATTTTTAGAAAATATTACAATTGAAGAGAAAATCGAAAGGAAGATTGCTCAGAAATAACAAGTAGCGGATCGATTCCATCACTACGAAGCGGAGAATTTCACCCCACCAGGCAGACTTTACCTCCGTACACCACCTCACCACCCCAAAACCGCCGAAGGATTCACGAGGCTCGAACTCCGCGCGCATATTTCTCGGTCCACACTATTATTGTCGGAGGCTCCGCAGATGCTATCGAATACGAGCCGGTTCGCTCGCCTCGCGGAAAGAGCCTCTTATTTTTCCCTTCCCCATCCTCCTTCGCTCGTTCTCCACCTCCACGAGGCAAAGCTCTTCTTACCTCGATCCTTGCATCTCCCTAACGTATCTATCATTCCTTTTTCTCTCCATGTGAAAGATCAAAGCAAGTCGCTTCCTCATCCTTCCTTACCACATCCCGAAATCTCTTCCGCTTTATCCGGCTTTTTATGCCACGCAGCCAGTAAATATGTCCGTCGTGATGCCACGCGGCAATTTCGTTCCGAACAAATTCCAGTTAGAGAGTTAGACGGTTCATCAATCGATTGGAATGTCTCTCTTCTGACGTGTGTTATCGATGTATTATGGAGCTAAACTATTGCTCTCTCTGAGAGAGAGTCATTTGTCATCCTATGAAGAGAGGTCAATAACCATTTATCATTAAATTTACCGACGTATGCATAAAAATACCTACTTGTATATTTGTATTCTCTATAACGATTATTTTTAATATATCTTATTTTTTTTATTTTTTATCGTTTTTTTATTTAAGTATGTGTAAATAATTCGTTTTATGAATTTTTTTTTTCTTTTTTTTTTTATATTGAGCTTATAATGTTTGAGAAATATTTTAGTTTATTGTGCATTCTGTTCTTATTTTTTTATCGTATTTCATTTCTTCAAGTTATTCTTCAAAGTTTGATTCCGTTTAAAATTTATTTTTGTTTATTAACAATAAAATGGATAAAATGAGTTTAACTTCAATTTTTTACACATTTTTAAGTTCTTATTTTGTATCATAATTTTTTAATATCTTGTATAGTATTATATATTTTTAAAATAGATTCAAAATATAATCTATTTCATTTATTGTGCATCTGAAAAATTCTAATATGAGTATGACAAACAACAAAATAAAAATAAATATATATATATTTAAGAAAGAAAGTGGCAAAGAACGAAATAGTAATGTACGAAATATGCAGTAATATTCAGTATATCATTAAGGAATTTCTCTTCAAGAAATATTGATAAGGAATGTCTGTATGGTAAAAGAAGATCTTCAGCCATAAGGGTCAATCTGTAAAGGTCGTATGCATTTTAAAGAAAGATTCGCCATTTACAATAATAACTTCTATGAAATGACTTGAGTTTGGTAGGTAAAAAAAGTTTTCTGATTCTTTGATTTTCAAGTTATAAAAATGAGTTTATCTCTTTTCTATGATTATTAATTGACATTATAATGAATATATCGAAAAATATATACAATATTTCCGAATTTTTCATTCGAACATCATGAATTATGAAATACTATAATATTTGTTATTCTAAATTAACAAAATTTATGTCAATACAATCTTTTGTATCTATACGAGTCACAGAAGTTTATTTGTAAAATCCTATAACATTTACAAAAATAAATATGTATATTTATTTATTTAAAAAAATTTTTTTTTTTATTCATAACAAATCGAATTTTAATAATATTTGTAATAATATTCGTAACAAAAGAAAAATTCTAGAAAATATCATATGAAAAGGAGAACCTAACCTATTCTAATCTAATACACATAATTTATTGTTGCATATGCTTAATGCATTACATAATATTAAAAAATGTTTTAAATATTAGCTATTTTTCTTTATAATATATCCATATTAATATTATAATAAATTATTATGAATTCATTAGTTAATCTATACATATTAAAATTGCCATAAGTATAATCATATCTTTCCATCATGATCTTAAAATTAAATATTATAAAATAAAATAAAAAAATAAAATACTTTACTTTGCAATCAATATTATTAAATTTCTCTGGAAAACCATATAACAGTATAATACGTCATCAATATTATTACTAAAAAATTCAAAAGCTTGATATTTACGGTTATTATTATTGCGATAATGATCAGTCACTGCAATAGTGATATTTGTTGGTATTACTGCATCACTAGATTTTCCTGTTGCTGCGTGGTTGGGACGATGGTTGTGTGTAACAAAGAGTGCAAATAACGATAACCATGCGCGTGTGTAGTAGTGGTGAGATGGCGGAGGAGGAAGAGCGATTGGAATGCAGCCGAGTGAGGAATTCCGGCCCCTCCCGCATATTTATCTGAACGCTGCTCACCGGTCTGCGGGGCCCCGCTCCGAACGAAGGGCCTCTTTTATAGTACGGCAACTACTCTTCGTCGCTCATACCAACGGAGAAACAAAAGAAGGATAGATAGTAGTCGCACGAAGTCAGTATCGGGCTACTATGCGTATAGATCTATTCAGGAATGCCCAGTGTTTTGTAATTAGGCGTATGCGTGGCATTTTCTCCTGAATATGCAACCGCGGTAAATTTCGAAGATAACGTTGTCTGGCAAATGTTAACGGCATGAACTATTCACTTCACGAATTTTTTGAGATGATTTATAGAGTAAATTACTAAGAGTAAAATAATATTTCCAATGTATTTTTTGAAATTGCCTTTAAAATAGAATGATATAAATAAATGATATAGACACATTCCAAGAAAATGGAATTTGTAATAACTTTTCTAAGGAAATGTTTCCACAAATTTAACAAGTACGTTTATTTTCTGGAAAAACTTTTCTAAATATATGTATTAAAAATAATAATAATGTTTTACATTTAATTTTGATTTTTTTAATTTTATTTTTACTTAAAAATTAAAGTAAGAATAATCTTTCAATTTTAGAAATACTCGGAATGAAATATTTGTAAAATTGAATTTAACCTAAATTTTCTAAAATTTAATTTGAGATAAATAAATAAAAAAAATAAAAAAAAATAAAAAAAAAAGAAAATTTAATTTGAGATAACTATACAAGAAAAAATGACTGGAATATTAGACCATCTTCAAAAGTTTCTTTTTCATATATTTAATTTTTTAAATATGAAGATAAAATTTCATATTCAACCTTTGCTATAAAAATAATTATATGATATTTTATGATCATAAGAAATATTCATCTATACATTTCATATTAAGAGTTAAAATTCTTAATTTATTTATTTATTTTAATTTTTTTTAAATAAATTCGCAAAAAAATCTGATAATTGATAATTTAATTCAAATTTAGATATGGTAGCCAGTAGAGAGGAAAAAGAATCAGCAATAAGCGAACTGATGACGGAGAAAAGCATTTCTTCGACTGGACAGCTGTTGCCGAACAAAGGCCGAAGGATACAAAAGAGGAATTTCTTGGGCCGCACGTGGCTCCTGAGAGAAAGAGAGAAAGGAAGGGAGAAGAAAAAGGAAGATTCACGGCTAATGCAAGGGGCCGACTATATACACGCGACCCGCTGCATCCTTTCGGGCATTCCTCTCCTTCCGTCAATTTTCTCTTTTCTTAATTTCAATCATCTTTCATTCCTCTTCTGTAACTATTTTTTCTTCCTCTTTTTTATTTATCTTATAAATGAAACTTTTATAAGATTAATAAAATCTATATCTATCGTATCTATCGTAGTTTGAAGAATTATCTAGTAGAAAAAATTTGAAAAGAATACAAAATCTGATTATTTTTGTTTAATAAAATCTTGGTTGATAAAAACATAAATATTCATTTTTCTTATTGATGAAATATAATTGTATTTACAAGCTTCAATCTCCAAGACTGCAAACTTTCCAGCCATAAAAAGTAGATTTATATATTTTGCATCTGTTTGAAAACTAAAAATTTTATTTTAAATTTAATATTAGATATAATCACTTTGACTATTCCTACATTTAGGAAAATATGATTTTCTAAAAAATTAATATTTAAATATTTATCAAATATGATCAAATGATTTTGATTGTTTATCAAATGATTTTGATTATTAAATTATAGAAATTTTGATTATTTCATTATATAGAATTCCTACATTAATAGAAATTTCTACTTATTAGCTCAAAATATTAAATGAAAGAATTATGCATGATTATACATATATAATATATATATATATATATATACAATGTTGTACACGCATACACGATTAACTAATATACTAATTCATAGAAAAACAAACTATGGAATACGCAATTTCACCAGCAGAAGTCGCCACAATCTGTAATTCACATATGTTCAACTAGAATTATATTTTTTAATATTTTTTTTTATTAAATCGTACATTATTTTTCGATATAAAGTTTATTCGTTTTTTTGTAAAATCATAATTTTTTTATTTTCTACCATTTTCTTTGTTTTTTATTATGATTATTGTAGATTATTTTTTTTTTTATATTTTATTTTTTTTAAATAATAATTTTACGTAAATATAATTTATATATCTAAG